CTCTGGGTCGAACGCATGCGCCCACGTGATTTCCGACTTGGTCACGTGAGGATGCGGGTTCGCGTGGCCCCAGGAGCTCAGGCACCGAATGGGCCCCGCAGACGACCAGGACAGCCCGGCCATGCTGCGCGACGGCTGCCTTCCTTCAGGCGTTGTGGGGCCACACGCGGATGCGACCAAGGTGAGGTGCCGCCCGCCTTGGCGCATGATCTGCTGGGCGGCCTGCTCGAAGTCGTCTGTGCTCGCGCCCTCGCGCCGCAAGTTGAAATTGATTCGGGGGTGCGCGCGATGAGTGTGCCGGTGTTCGCGAGCAGCTGGCACGGCCGCTCGGCCTTGCAGTGGGCGCGTAAACGCGCGGCGGGGCGGCGGGGCGTCGTCTGCCGATCCGCCATGCCAGCGCAGTGTTTCCTGGTGCTCATCTGACGTAGAGTCCAGATCGTCGCGGCCACAGGACCGAGGGAGGTCGGGGCGCGGAGACAGCGGGTGATTGGTCGAGAGAAGAATTTAAGCAGCAGGCAAGAGGTGAAGGGATGAGGCAGGGGGTGGAGGAGCAGGAGGAAAAGGGAGGTGGAAGGCCTTTGGCAGGGCGGATCGACAACCGACAATTGGAGAACGGCGCCCCGTCAAGCATTTCAAACCATCACTGTCTTGGCTGGCGCGCGGGCGATGATGATGACTCAGCTTAAGCAGGCGTCTGCGCATTAGCTGGGCAAAATAACTCAGATGTGCTCGAAACCAATGGGTGTTCAATCGGCTTCTGTGTGTGTATATGAGTACTTGATGTGGATTGTAGCCACTGTGCTGCCATGTCTTCCCATAGTTCCCCCTGCCTTGCATACTGCTGCCAGATGCTGCCAGTTGGGCCCCCAACGTCGCGAGAATAACTGCTCCCATCTCCACACGTGGAACCGACGGTAATGACACTGGTGCCCATACAGCTGCGTCACGCGCTGGAGATAAGCTGCTCCTCGGTACTGGGCATTCGACGCGACGGCTGCGCCCACGGCGATGTGGCATTGCGCCCTTATGGACTGCGCCGTGAGCACGCGCGCAGGCAGCAATCCCTGGTCAAGCACCTGCGCGTGGCCCGCAGGGGAAAACCTGGGAGAGAGTTGAATGCGCGGCTAACCTGAGAGGCGACGTCCTGCGCGAGCTTTGACGCGGCCCTGACTGCGGCGGCGGCGGCGCCCATGGAGGACTGGTCGGCGGCGCCAGCCTGGCGCGCAGGAGAGGCGTTGGCGCCTGCCTCGGCGGGCCCGCCAAGGCTGATCAGACCGCCGAGCTCAGCAGCCACCTCCTTGGCGAGCGACGCCCTGGTCTCTGGCTCAAGGGCCGTCGGCCCCCGTGCATGCGGACGCTCAGGAGCAGACGCTGCGGCCGATCCTAGCGCCACCTTCGTAGGTCGCGGCGGCTCTGTCTCAGGCAGCGCCTTCCGCCCGCGAACATATTCGTCGGCCGCGCGCTCGACGCTCGGTGCTGTCTTTACGGTCCGCCGGGTGTCTGCGCGCGCCGGCAGAGCTCTGCCCCCTTCGTCGTCGCCGAGCTGGGGCCGGCGCGGGGCAGACCGGGAGCGCCCCTCGGGGTCTGCGGCCCCGCTTGTCAGGTCCACCTGCCACGTCGCGACCAACTCGGGGATCGCGATCCGCGTCGGCCATTCCTCCTGCGAGGTTGACCACCGCAACAATTTGTTCTGTTCCCATTGATCACATCATTTGTGGTCTTCTGTAGTCTCGTAATGATGATGTTTGGTTTGTTAATGATCACATTCTGGAATTATAGATGTTCTACGTGCGTGTTATTCTGGTGCTAAGTACGACGTTGGGCCCAGCGATTGTCATCGCTATGGTTATGGTTCTGACCTGGTCCTGATGCTGATGTGATTCTCACTTGGTAGAGTTTGGTCATGATTTGCTCCTGGCTTTGTTCTTCATCTTGGATGTTGCGGCTATGGTTGTAATGGCGATTGTCCAAAGTATTACTTTTGTATGATTTCGCTGGCTTGTTTTTTGCTTGGCTGTGAACTAGATGATGAAGACGGCTGTGGCACTTGTGTTGGTTGCGTTCAATCTTATGGTTATGGCTGTTGTTCTGGTTGTGAGCGATGTTCTGGTGAAGGTATTGAACATCTTTGTGTTTAAATTGGTTACACATATATTTATGTTTGTGCTGGCGGTGGTCAACATCGGATCCTGCTTCTGGCGAGGGTGTGCTCGGAGTTTCCGCAAGGCGGCGCCCCTGCTGTGGCCAGTGGACGAAGCCGTCACAACCGTGTCAATGCACAACATGCAAAAACCTTTGACTTCAAGCAAGCTGGGTTGGCCGCTGGGCTTCCCCCAGCCGCGCATCTCATTCTCGCATGGCACGACCATGGCGACAGGTGCAATCAACACGTTCAGTTTGGAACCAAAATCGCCACGGACAGGGTGGTGTGGAAAAGAAAGACATATCAGGATAGCAGAGCATAACATAATACTGAACAACAACTTGTTCCATAATCAGAGCTATCACTGCAACCGCGACCAATCCAATTCTCCGCTTCTTCTTCTCATTCCCATCATCCCTCAATTATTTTCCATGCCCATGAGGGGTGGAAGGCGAGGGAGGAGAGGACGAGGACGGATGAGGAGAAGGAGGAGGAGGAGGAGGGATACAAAGGGAGGGAGCGAAGGACAAAGGGAGGGAGAAGGGAAGGAGATGGGCATAACAGCTCCAACCTAGTCAACGGCTGAAGAGTGAGAAATGAGGATTGAACTGGTAAAATGAGGAGGTGAGACAGGATAATGCATGAGGAAGAGGAGATGCGGCCTAAGCAGGGGGAGAAGGACGAGAATAACAGAGGAACGAAGGAAGCGATGAGGAAGAAAAGGAAAAGGAGAGAGGAAAAGGTAGGTCACAGTGGGGGGTGCTTGGGGGGAGTATATATATATATATATGTATGTATGTATATATATATATATATATATATATACACGTGTATATATGTGTATATATATATATATATATATATATATATGAGCATATTCCTCTTCGCATATTTTGCCCAAGTGGGGGGGAAACCCCTCCCCCCCCAAAACCGGACTCCTGGGATCTGGGGCTTTGGGGTTCTCCGGACGGGCCTCGAAGCGGCCCCCCGGGCCTCCCAGGGCATTTTGCCAAGCCTTCCCAGCACACCTAGGGCGATCAGGGGGTTCATCGGAGACGTCCCAGAGACCCCCAAGACAGCGCAAGAGCGCTCCAAGAGTGACCGACGTGACCTCAAGATGGCCCAAGAGGCCTCCAGGACGGCCCCAAAGAGGCCTCCAAGAGCACTCCCAAGAAGGCATCAAGAGGCAAACCTCTTTGATTTTCTTTTGGTTTTTGGTGAAGTTTGGGGTTCTCCTTTTTTCGGCTTCCCGACGCTCCAAGACGGCGGTCTTCTGGGCGTCCGAAACCGCCTGGGAGGCTCCAAAATCGCCCGACAAACATCCGAAAAGGCTTCCAGGCTTGAGCCCCAAAACGGCACAACACGGGTCCAAGATGGCCCTCAAAGAGCCCCATGGCGGCCCAAGATGGCCCCCAAACGCCCTCCGAAGTATTCCCAAATCGTGACCCGGTCGTTCAGGGAGACCGCGGTTGGAGGCAGGGTGGCCCGAGGAAGCCCCGAGAGGCCCCCAGAATACGCCCAGGAGGCCTCCAGAAAGCCTTAAGAAAGCGTGAAACAACTTTCGTGAGGCCCCCAGAGGCTCTCCAAAGAGGAGCCTCCGCAAAAAAGAGTTGAGGAGGATGGGAAGGATACGCAGGGTATGGCGAACATGAAGAAAAAAAACATGGCGGAGAGATGACGAATTCTATTATAATAGCGGCGATGCCAGAAAAAGGCAACAAGGCTTGACCTTCCTGCTATTCCGCATGCGTACCAAACTTCAAAGACCATGGTACATGGCGCGAAGCGCCACTGCAATCTTGTATATATATATATACACATGTATATATGTATATATATATATGTATATATATAAAGAGAGAGAGAGAGAGAGAGAGAGAGAGAGAGAGAGAGGGAGAACGAGAGAGAGAGAAAGAGAGAGATAGAGAATGCAGCGGCAACGGCCTCCGGAAATCCATCCGACCGATAAACCGATAAGCCGATAACAATCGGTTGATCGGTAAATCGGCAGATCGACCGATCAACCGATATGATTATATTGGTTTATCGGTCGATTTGCCGATATACAGAAAAACCGTCAACCCTTATCCGCGAACATAGAGACGATGGCCGGCGCGCTCTCCTTCTCTTCGTCAGATTGCATGTATATCGGTTTATCGGCTCATCGGGTGACTGACTTGTCTGAAACCGCTGGGGCAAGCCTGAGGAGTCGATCCTTGCGCCGCACATCGGTTTACAGGTTTATTGGTTTATCGGCCGGTTGTCAGGCCCCCGCCGTGATGACGACGGCGACGGCTCTGGGGCGGCTCTCTCTCATCAGCGTGAATTTTGTGATTGGCTCTTGTGCGGACAGAGTCCCGCAGGGAACCGAGCCTTTCCCACCGCATACGATGATCTGCGTGGTCGTGCAGGCCCTGCGAGGGTCTCAGGCGACAGTGGCCGAATTAACTTGGGGCAGGGCATATCCGAGGTCAGATCTCTTAGGATGTCTAAGGCGAAACTGGCCTGACCATTCAGCTCAGGGCATCTCAGAATCGAGGGTTGCGAGGATGTCTCATGCGAAAGGGGCCTGAACAAGTCAACTTTAGGCGTCTCGGAATCCACTGTCGCGAAGATGTGGCAGGCGAAATTGGCCGGACCGCCATGGGGTAGGGCATCTTCGAAGTTAGAGGTGCGAGGGCGTCTCAGGCGAAACTGGCCTGAACACCGTATCTCGCGGCAGATCCGGGGTCTGACTATTTCAAGGCAAGGCTCATCCCAGGTCAACAATGCTAGTTTGTCTAGGCGGAACTGGCCAGCACAATTTGGGGCAGGGGGTATCTGAGGTCAGCGTTGCGAGGATGTCTCATGCGAAAAT